CCTGAGTCAATAATACCAGTGTTCAAAGAAGCTGAAATTATATCCTTAGATAAAGAGACTGTACAGCAAGAGGATGAATGTGATGATCTGGAAGACTTAGATCAGGGTTTACTAAATCTTTTTAACTCAGATAGTGAAGAATCAGATTTTGATGGCTTCATTTGATGTACAGTTTGCTGTAATTCCTTTGTAAGTAAATTAAATTTTCTTTTGTCATCCAAATTTAATATCTCGTTGTTGCAACATTTTTTATAATATACTATGAGTATGACGAATATGGACTTGTTTAGTGGATAAATATAAGTATATTCGTGAACATAAATATATTTTCAACATTCCTTACCTTTAATTTTTGAGTTATAGTTTCATGCCATGCATTTTAACTGATATGTCATATATCAGGACATAGGTCAAGATTTTGCATCTATACGGCTCATGACGATGTCATGCACTATTTAATCTATTGCCACGTTTCTGCGTAATTTTAATTTTTTCTGCCATTTTTCTCAAGTGCACCGTTTACACTGATGTGGCCTTTCTTCCGGAAATTACGGTATATAAGACTTTTTTAGGGGGGAGATGCATTTCAGACGTAAAAGTCAACAGATATTATAGGCCTTAAACATAAAAGTAAAACATCTCATCTGATTATGAAAACCCGCTGAACATGAAAGTTGACTGAGATGTCATCAATCTTCCACCAGTTGTTCCAGCAGACATCTAATGAAGCAGATAACTCACATAGACTTCAACTACTATAGATTCTCCATAGTTTCTAAGGAAATTCATGAAGCTTTTCAAAAAACTACGAATATATAAAAAACTAAGTATAAAAAACTACGAATTTTACAGAAACAGGGTAGTAGAACCAGGACGCAAAATGGAACCAACTAATTCATCTGATAATTGGCTGAATACTCGGTGTCATCATATATCACGTGTTAAGTGCATTACTGGTTTTGAAGAATAGCCAATCGTTACCAAAGAACATCTTAACAATACATATTCTTTGCCCCGCATTCTCATTGTACGTACTGTTCATTGCTGCTGTTATAGGGCTTGTTTAGCTTGCCTTCAGCTCCTTTGTTTAGATTACGGCAAGAGCGCAGCATGTGACTTGTGAGCTGTGATTCAGCTGGAAGTTTTTTGTTAATTATGCTGCCTCAAATAAAGAAGCTAAAATTATCAAAGCAGAAATTTAAAGATTCACATTCTTCAGAATTTCCATGCATTAAAGCAGGGTTTCTTAAACTATCGGTCACGACCTGCAGCAGGGGCGGTCGGTAAAAATTTTAGCAGTTTTGGTATTTCTTTAACTTATTATAATAATTTTACAATTACCAAATATTTTTAGTCAAAAAGGGGCTTTGTACCTGAAGGACTATTGTTTTCATTTTGCGATTTTGTGTTGGTTCACTATAAATATCCGTTTCACTTCTCAAACTGTTGGCACCAAATGTTAGAGTACTGCATTATATTTGAAGATTTTTCATTATTTGAAGAAATTAAATAATGAAAAATCTGCATAAATGTATGTATATTTTTTGCATTGTGATAAAACAACTGTACATAGAGCCATGGAATTTTGAATGATGCAATCCTACTGCGAATATGGTCATGTGGATGGCCAAATTTAAAATTTGGAATTTGTTTTATTATCGATTTCATATCTTGTAAATCTTTAATGAATTTTCGATTAACAAACTCAAGGATTTCAAAGCAAGCAATGGCAACGTTGTACAGAAAAATCATTTTTATCTCCAGCGTGTGAGACAGTGTATCAGAAATTCAAAAGATATCCTCAATTTAAAACTATTTTGCGATATTTTGCTCTTGAATTGAATTTTAAGTGCAAAGAATGTGATATTTAATAAATAAAGGTAACAGACAAAATGTTAAAACAACGCTCCTTTGGACATACTTTAAAAACTGAAACCTTTTATATTTTTATTTGTGATTTTATTTATTACACAATGTATCTGAAAATAGATAAAGATAAGACAATACAGGCAGTGAAAAAAATGAAAACGTCTCAACACATTCTTTTTATAATATAAACATTCATTTTCCTTGCTTTGAATGTGACGCTGTTATTTTGTCTTAAAATTTTCACATTGTTCCATGTCTTAAAATTAGAAATTAAAATTAACAACCTAAAACTGCAATTATTACATTATATTCCAGTGCAAGTGAAAAAATTGACAGTTTCACGCACATGTGTGTCGGATTTGCACAATATTTATGGGGTCCCACAAAATTTTTGTAAATATTATGGGGTCCTCGGGGTCACGAAAAAAATCTCAGTGATAAAAAGGGGTCATAACTGAAAAAAGTTTAAGAAACCCTGGATTAAAGCATTCAAAATTTCTGTGAATCATGCACATTGCAGTGTATGCAAGACAATTTCCGGACCTTGTATGCAACAGACTTCTCAGTTGCACATGGCGGAAAAGATGAGTATAAATGGCATGCTTTTCAAAAGCATAAAGAACTTGGCACTGTAAAATCTAAAGAAATAACAAATTTCCTAATAAAAGATGATGAAACAGGTGATATAAAAGCCGAATGCTATTTTCTTCAATTTTTAATTGAACATAATCTACCGATTTTCGTTTTGGATCATTCCAAACAGCTTTTCAAAGAAATGTTTCCTGACTCTGCCATAGCAAAAAACTTTAGCTGCAGCCATACCAAAACTATTGCTATCGTGAAAACGCTTGCAGAAAGTACTGTTGCCGATATTATGAAATCAGTGTGCAATACATATTTTTTTTTTAAATACTGATGGAAGTAATGATAACAAACTGTACCCTTTGATTATAACATATTATAGTAGTGATAATTACTTCATTGATTTCTATTTTAAAATGCACAAATAATACCGGAGAAGGTATTTTTAATTGTATAAATGAAAACTTTAAAAGCAAAGGTTTAGAAGAATTGCTTATCATTTCAGAACTGTGTTATTGAAAAACATTATCAAAATCAGAACTTAAGCATGCTACATATAAATTTTTGCATTTGTAAATTATAAATTATAAATACTTATATATATGTATTATTCTTGGTTATTTAAATTTTTTAAAATTTTATTTCCCTGTGAAAATCAAATCCAGAATAAAGATATATGATTTCTGGATTCTGATTTTTTCTATGATTAATAGTGATTTAAAATACTTGCTTTAATCATATATTAGTATATTTAGTGATAAACATGGCTTGAGGAGTTAAATGAAAATTTCTAATTAAATGCGCATATAATTCACAAGAAATAATTTTCATTATTCAGTTTTATATGTATATGGATTTTAAATGTAATAAAATTGATTGCAATTAATGATTAATTAAAAATTAATTAATGGTTAATTACAACATGCATTACATGTGCATTTTCAAAGTTGTAAAAATATCATTTGTGCGTCGACTACTGACAAGTTTTGCTGCAGGTTGGAGTCTATGAATTCATCACATAAACAAATTACAGATATAGCATATAAAAATTTAAATCACTTATTACAATTATTTTTCCTGATGCATTGCCATTATTTATTCGTTTTTAGATACTCACATCATATCTTTTTTAATACCTAGAACATCTAACTTAAATTGCCCTACTGCATGAAATGAGGCCCCAAATATTAATCATTGTTTCAAAATGTGATGAAAAAACAGAACTCGTATCCTTCTTTAAAAAAATTAAACTGCGTCATCAAGAATTAATTGGGTTTACATAAAACCAAGGTGAAATTTTTATGGTTGCGTTGTGAAATTGTGCTTATCCATTTTTGGCACTAAATCACACTATTTGCAGGCCCGGATTTGGATTTGAGAAGATCCTAAGTAGTTTCAGATATGGGGCCCTTTATGAGGGATATGAGTCAATTTTTTTTATATGGGTTTATGGTACAATTTTTGAAGGTTGCCAGAAGAAAGCTGGGGGGAGGGTCCTAAGCTATAGCTTGTGCAGCTTACACATAAATCTGGCACTGACTATTTGGCAATAACATGTATGTGCTAATAATAATGTAACAAACTCTAAATGGTGTCATAAATCTCCCACTTCATTTTTTGAAGAAAATACTTATTTCTAAAATTCTAAAATATTCCACTTACTTGAATGTCAGATAGTTGGGCTTTTACTGTAAAATGATTGCCAATTTAGAATCTTCCACTTAAATCATTATATTTTAGGCTACACGTTTTATGGCTATACAGATTTAATTTTTGCCTCAAGTGAAAGGAAAATTTCATAAAAAAAGAGAAGAAAAGGATGGAGGGCCACTTCAAAAATTTTCCAGCAAAAAAAAAAAAAAAAAAAAAAAAAAAAAACTCTACAGTAATATTCTGTTTTTTCCCTTGAATCACACAGTTCAAAAATTAATCCAGCCTGATAAAAGCTTTCCTTGTTAAAAAAAGCAAGCACCAGGGATGCTTCAACCCTTTTTGTGGGAAAGTTGAGGTCCTGAATTTTCATTGCATGAGTCCAAGAATTCTAGTTATGCCACTGGGAAAAAGATAATAGTACTTCTAAAATTTAAATGCATTATTATTTACATTTTAAATATAATAATGATTTCCCATTCTTTTCCTAATTTAATGCTCCTTGTTTAAAATCCAGTTTGGTTTATCTTTGGCCAGCTTATATAATATCTCTTTATAGTTCACTTGCTTTGGGTTTACTTTATCTAGAGCCAACCCTGTATAAACAACTCGTGAATTACTTATTTTAATTTGGTAATTTCTTTTTCCAGTCCACCAAACAATAACTTGATTACAATTTATTATTACACATATGAATATTTAAATTAATTCATCACACACAGATAAATATAAATTATTTCATAAAATAAATTTTTAGAAAATAATACTCTAAATAAAGAATAAATTCTAAGCATACTGTTCCCATTAAGGTTTTAAAAAGATGCTTTAATATATAACTAAAATATTACAATACATATATTAAAATAAGAGTGCAGTCCTTATAAAGCAAATTCATTTACCCTAAATCTTCCAGAGATAAGCCAGATATCCACTGATATAAGCCATCAGGTTTATTCAAATATGGGCGATCAACAGAAAGTGAAAAGCACATTGGTTCTCCAATTTTAAGTCTATTGTTCATACATAAACTAAGCATGTATTTATAATTAATATAACAATATGCAGGTTCTTTATTTAAATTTTTAAGAGATGAATCATCTGAAGAAATATAAGGTGATAGCTCATTATTACTTTCAAAACTAATGAAAAAATCCCTTTCATAACCTGAAATGAAAAATAATTTAAAAACAGAACCACTCCAAAATAAAATAACTGTAACAGCAAAATATAAGAACTTACATAATACACCTAAAATTGTGTTTGTAATATTCATTTGAATTGTTAAACTACTACAATACAATTTAAAGACATATGAAACAAATTTCAAAATTAACAGTTCACTTTCATAAAGTCTTAGATTAGTTCATAAAGTCATCAATAAGTTTTAGACACAGTATATAAGGTAGGCCGTAAGTTTTTGTGCTTTTAGAAATAAAATTTTAAAAGTAAGGTTATTATATAAAGCTTTTATTTAAATAAATATATCCAGAAATTTATATTTGGCTACAATAAAAGTTTCCCGCCAAAAAATTTTCTTAATAAAGTTACAAAAAAAACTCCATCAAAGTAGTACACTTAATGCAGGTAGTAATCACCACCCAAATCTATGATTTCTGCCAACATTTTGGCAGTTTTTCAAAGCCTTCAGCCGAGAAACATGGTGCCGTAAGTTCAAGAACAGATTAACCTCATTTTGGACATCCTGTGCAGAATGCACCAGCAAGATGTACCTGCAGGTGTAAAAAAAGGTAGAAGTCTGAAAGAGCGATGTGAAGGTTACATGATAGGTGTGGCGAAAGATCCCATTCGAGTCCGTACAGACACCAGCTGGTGAATGCAAACACATGTGGTTTTCATTATTTTGATGGAATATTACCATTTTACACCAGAACTCAGTTCGACGTTCAGGGGCAGGGCAAAGAAAAGTGTACTGAGCACCAGAACTACGTCAGTGACTTTTAAAGGTATTGCTCCGCCGCACTACTGTACCCACTGGGCATTTGGTTTTCATTGGGAGCAGACCAACCCCTTTCTGGCCTGTGTTGTTGAAGTAAATCCGCTTTTCATCACAAGTGACGATCCAGTCCAGAATTTTGTCCTTGCATTGATATTCGAGCAGATTAGTGCAGGCCCAAATACATGTGTCCTTATCTGCTTGAGTCAGCTCATGTGGCATTCAGGGACTGAACATAAAGTTTATGCCATGAACAGTGCGACTAATGGACATGGCACTAACGTCTAACTCCCTAGTAAGCTCTCAAATGGTTGCATACTGATCTTCTTCCACAAGTTCCCTCAGGTGGATCTCATAGAAGTAGAAGTGAAAGTGGAAGTAAATAATGGTTTTAATCTGGTAGCGTGATAATTTCATTTTAGACACACTGTACTTAATGATATGTTTTACAAATTTCACAACATAGTCTCTTTCTTTCAAATGCCAAAAATCTTTTAACAAAATATGATTAAACACATCAACATGAACAGTTTGTGCGGACTATATTTGCGGTGGCGGGGAAACTTTCATTACAACCTGACATTTTAAAAATAATACTGTCAAGATGTCCACTCTCATGTTTACGACACTTCTGCAACTGTAGGTGCACAGTGTGTAGAATCTGAAAAACATACTAACACATGGTGCATGAAATTGAGGCTGTTCCATCAGGGATATTTTGCTTCAAATGTTTATTGTTGTCAGCTTATTACTGCATACATGATTTTTGAGATGGGGGGGGACAAAAAAATATTTGAAAGCTTTCAGATTTTACAAAGGGGCCTTTTAAAAAAAAAAAAAAAAAAAATGTTTTGTGTGTTACCTTTATTTATTAAATACCATGTTCTTTGCACTTAAACCATAAAATTTAGTTCAACAGCAATATCGCAAAATAGTTTTAAATTGAGCATATCTTTAGAATTTCCGATACACGATATCGCATGCTGGAGATGAAATTCCCCCCCAATACAGTATTGCTATTGCTCGCTTTGAAATCATTGGGTTTCTTAACCAAAAACTCATAAATACTTTACAAAATATGAAATAGATAATAAAACAAATTTCAAATTCCAAATTAGAACTTCCAGATGCCTATATTCAATGGAAGATTATATTATTCAAAATTTGATGGCTCTAGGTATCGTTGTTTTATCACAATGCCAGAAACATACATAAAATTATGCAGATTCTTCATTATTTAATTTCTTTAAATAAAACAAAGGGTGATAATATTTGGTGGCAGCAATTTGAAAAGTGAACCGAAAGTTAAAGTTTTCACGGCAAAATGCCAAAACGAAATTACTAGCCCTTCTGGGCTAAAAATCAAACTGAGAAAGGTCACAACTTCTTAGCAATGTCATTTATATGAAAAATCAGTTTACAGGAGAACACGTTTTTACTTCTTTGTACGAAGTATAAAGGAAGTATCGCAACTGTGAAAAATTTTCGGGTATCATATTGCAACAAAAATATCCATTTTAACCACTATCAAATGTAAATTAATAATATTTTTGCTTGACATCTGCATGTAAGGACAGAATAAAGGACACTTTTTTGCTCAAACAATTATAAAACTGATTTTAAATAGATTCTGAAGATTTCGTGGCGTCTGTATGTACATATGTATCTCCCATAACTCAAAAACGAGTAGCACCAGAAAGTTGAAATTTTGTATATAGGACTGCTATAACATGTACATCTCTTATTTTGGTTGCAATCAGCCGCACCAAAAGTATATAAATATATGTACAGGGTTATCCAAATTAAACTTCCCCAACTCAGAGGCCTGTGCAGAGTGTTGTATGGGTCATAATGTGATGAAATTTTAAAAACAGACACTTCAATCATGCGCTCGAGATTTATTACACAAAAAAAAATTAGTCTACTTACTGAAGTATGCCGATAACCGTGGCCGAGTAACACTAGTAATGTGCATATTGCAGCAACGTGATTTGCAGAAATAAAGCTTCTGCGCAACGTATCCAAAAGACGAGCCCTACAAAAGTGGAAGACCCGGCCTTGCACAGGCAGTTGTTTCCAGCTCGCTGATGCACAATGGCGACTTTGAAAGACAAAGCTCTGTTAGTGAAATTTTTCTACCAGAATGATGAGAACTCCTGTGCTGCGATAAGAGCATTCCATCGGCTGAAGATCTTACACTGAGGACCAATGACACCATGCACTCTACAAGACATGATGAAAAAGTTCGAAAGAACGGGACAGCTGCGAATTTTACCAGGTAGAGAACGACAGGTTGTGGAATCCGCACATGTAGATGTTGCTTTGGCGGCCGTGGACCCCACTAGCCAATCGCCCCATGGTGTTGTCAGTGCGCCAAATGTTTTTTGTGCTGTTGATATGCCCTATACGACCGTCTGGCATGTGATGCTTCAAATCCTCGGTTATTTTCCTTACAAAATCCATAGTCGTCATCAGCTGTCCGACGGGGATCCTGTAGTTCGGGAACATTTGCGTTGCAGTTCCTTGCCAGAATGGAAGTCGATGCTGCTTGGCCGTGGAACATCCTTTGGATGGATGAGGCCCATTTTCACCTGAATGGTCAAGTGAATACGCACAACTGCCGCATTTGGGCAAGTGAAAACCCACGCGCAATCCATCAAGTGCCTTTGAACCCTCCAAAGGTTACAGTTTGGTGCGGTTTCACTGCAACATTCGTCATTGGGCCTTATTTTTTTGAAGAGGTGACTCCAACAGGGTTCAAAACCTGCTCTGTCACAGGAAAACGGTATCAGGACATGTTGACATTGTGATCTCTGAACTGCAACAACGTGGCCGCCTCCAGGACACGATATTTATGCAGAATGGTGCACCTCCCCATATTCTTCGTGGCGTTCAACAGGTGTTACGGGCAACTTTTACCGATGCATGTGTGATCAGCCGCTTTTTCCCTACATCTTGGCCTCCCCGCTCGCCTGATCTCATGCCATGCGACTTTTGGTTATGGGGATTCTTAACTTAAAGGATCGGGTCTACCAAGAACACCCAGCAATCTTGGCACATTTGAAAGATGCAATTATTCGAGATGTTCGTGGAATTAATGTGGACTTACTGCATTCTGCTGTGGAACACACTGCTTTGCAAATGGAAAGAGTTGTGGAGAACCACAGCACACATATAGAACATCTGTAGAATGTCTTGTTGATCTGCAGTGCCACCTATCGGCAACTTCTTGTACTAATTTTTTTTGTTTAATAAATCTCGAGTGCATGATCTGAAATGTCTGTTTTTAAAATTTCATCACATTATGACCCATACAACACTCTGCACAGGCCTCTGAGTTGGGGAAGTTTAATTTGGATAACCCTGTATATATGTATATATTCACTCTCTTACTCGGCTCAGTGAGCTCAGTTTCTTTATTCTTTTATGTTTGTAAATTGTGCATTTTTTTTTTTTTGCTTTAAAAATGATTGAATTATGTTGTTCTTAGCTTCTGGTTAAGGTTTTATGCCTTTACTTAACCTGCATGTTATAGTTGTAGAATTATCAACAATTTACAAGTTATTTAAGTGCGGCTATGCCTAATTTTTTCCCCCTATAGCAGCCATATTTGTTTACATTTGAAACTTAGCAGAATACTCAATTTGCTGCCAGTCTAGAGAAACTGAATTTTGTAACATCTTCTTTTATTATTTTGAATTTAAACTATGCTTAATCCATTCTGGACTCAACATTTAAGTTATTAAATTATCTCATACATTGACTCGGCTAAGCATCCACAAGAAATTAATCAGTTTCTACGCCTTCAGTGTCTTTTTGCTGAGTGAGACCAAAAGTAAACTTCCAGTTTTGTACACTGAAAAATCTGTTTTCTTGCCTGCTGACCAAATTGCTTGTTTTTGCATTTAAAATGTAATTTTAATTGAAAATTTTTTTATTTTTTATTTTTTAACTGTATTTGGTGTTTTATGTTTTTCGACATCTTTAAATTTTTAATGAAGATAGTTTGCGTTTTTATTATTATTGGCTTACCGCGAAGTGAGAGCTGGATTAATTGAATGAGAAATACATCTCTATTGAAATTCAATGAAATAATGTTTCATATTAGGAGCAAATACTGTCACCAGTCTGTTTCGGACAGAGGAGAATGTTTACGAGTAGCGCATACACATTAGGTAAGCAGCGCTGAATCATCTGTGAAAAACTTTTTATTTTTTATTTGTTTAATTTCTTTTTATACATCGTTTTAGATTTATTATAGTATTTGAACAGAACATGTGGCAACAATTAGATAATTCTTCAGATGACATAATTTTTTTGCATTCTGAATCCTAAAATGAATGAGATGTAATGCTGTTAAGTGAACCCAGCACCAGAGTAATCGCTATGGTAAATAAATATAGTGAACTTCAAAAAGTGCATTTATTCTATTGTGGTTTATGCGCTATCGACGAAGTAGATTAAATTCAATAAGTTTAAATGAAGTGCAGGAACAAATGCATATAATTTAATATTCCATACAAAGAAGGTTATTAGGTTAGGTTATTTAATTACGGCAAAGCCTCGAGGGCTATCTGCATAAGGGGAGGGATGCCTTCGAGGAGGACCTTCTAAGGGAAAGTGGCTCATATACACGTTTACACATGGGGAAGACCACGAAAACACCCATGCAGGCAGGCCGTTTGCTGGATTCGAATCTCGGACTGAACTACCAGTGTTCAGCGACTTTACCGCTCCGCCGCTGGTGGGCTTCCATGCAAAGAAGTCATGTGGTGTACACATCAGAATTTTTAAGCAGAAGTACACACATGTTTGAAGTATGGCAACTGACAACATTAAGTTACGTCCATATCCTCATGACACAGCATTCATATTTTTGCAGTTGTGGTGATAAAAAAATCCTACTATTCCTTTAAGAATTGTGATGCCACAAAATGAAAAGAAAGAATGTCAAATCGTAAGTTAGCTCAAATCTTTTATCATCAGAAACTGGTAATAAAACATCTAGTTTAGTAGTTTGATTTTCATTAAGCGAATCGCTATACTTTTAAGTTTTTGAAGTTTTATTTCTTTAAATGAGTTGCTTAACTTGTTTAAGATGAAAAGCTAAGTGAGAAGTTACCCAGAAAGTGACTGGTTACCTAGAAAAAAGGTGCAAAATAATTCTTTACTTGAAGAATTATTTTCTCTCAAATCTGATTATTTGTACATTGATCAGTATATTTTAAAAGAAAACTTTTATAACTATGATTTTATTTTGTTGAACGTAAGCCACACAACTTATTTAAGAAAAGCAAAATAAAAAGAATTGATTTGTCATCTAGAAAGATACAAAATAATTCTTTACCAGAAGAAGGAAATATTTACAATACACGTGAAATTAGAAGAATTTTAAAAACTTGTGATTTGAAGAGAATTTTAAAAACTACCTTTCAATAACATAAGAAAATCATCTGAGGCAATAAAATATGATTTACATGAATGTGATGTACAGATAAGGGCCAGGATTGTTCTATGCAGACTTCCAAAACAATGAAACATCACAAGAAAACTGAAGAAGATCAGTTGCTTAATGTAACTATGAAGCATTGAACTAGTGTTATGTTTTGTGCACATGTAATAACAAATGGCATGAGAAGAATCTGAATAAAAATAGCATTTTAAACAGCAGGAAATACATCAGTGATGTATTAGAGTCAAAATTAATACCAATGACTTGTGAAGTCTTTTGTGATAAAAAGACTCTCTTGTTTCAATATAATTCTTCACTTATGTATTAATATAATTCTACACTTATGTACTTCTTAATGTAACTATAAAGCATTGAACTAGTGTTATGTTGTGAGCACATGTAATAACAAAAGGCATGAGAAGAATCTGCATAAAAATAGCATTTTAAACAGCAGGAAATACATCAGTGATGTATTAGAGTCAAAATTAATACCAATGACTTGTGAAGTCTTTTGTGATAAAAAGACCCTCTTATTTCAATATAATTCTACACTTTGCCATTCAGTGGAAGAAGCAGTTTCAAAGAAATGTTGTTGCTAGAATGGCTAGGCAAAAGCCCTGGTTTTATTGATGGAAAATATTTATTTAATGGCAAAGATTATGACGGCCATCTGCCTAAGGGGAGAGATGCTTTTGAAGCTCACACAAAATCATAAATCTGCCTTGGGGAATCATGAGTCATTTTTTTTTATTTAACAAAATTATTAAGAACACAGCATTTTAATGCACATTACTAAATAAGAGATAACATCAGTAAGTATAGACTGTTCTTTTGTTATGTACATTTAAAATTTACCAAAAATTACTATAAGAAAATCCTAAAATAAGTAAATGATACAAATTATATATTTCCTCATGCTGCCTTTACATCATACAGGGACAAAAGTTCATTGGCTGACATTCAATAAAACTTGCAAAAAACACATACCTGAACATAAAAGACGAATCAAAGTTCCTTCTGAAAGAATAAAAATTGAACTTTCTTTCACATTCTGATACATATTATTCTCAAACCAGACCCGAAACCTTTCACTGATTTCTTTTGATATATCATAAGGCTGGAAAGAAATGAAATCTTCAAAAAAATTGTCTAAACTGAAACTTGAATGAAAAGAAATCATTCATTCAAGCACATGGTTTCTAAAATGCATGTTTTAAAAAAAATATACAAACACATAAGAACTTTATACAGGAGAAAAATCTTTAATTTAATTTCTGTTAATAAAAAAATTAGTGAGATTTTTTCATATCTCATAAACATAGCATATCTCTCTTTTTTTTTTTTTTTTTTTTTTTTTTTTTTTTTGTATTTTAAATCAAAGACTGAAAATACTGTGCTATAAAATATCACTACACAACACATTTCAAAATGGATCTTAGAGAAATTATTATTATTGCTAAAAGAAACAGTGTAAAAATATGTTATTCTCCCAGGTATACAAAGGTTACAGGTATATAAATACTTGAATTCTACAGCTGTAACAAAATTTCCTGTAACTATTTGATTATTTTTAAATGCATAGTTATTGTTTACAAAGGCACATATATATAAGTATGATCTGACAATTAAATAAGAAGCTGAATTTCCCCTATACAAATTCTTTACATTATACCCACCAATACAATACCTGCCTTTTGTTGCCTGCCTTTGCCTTCCTCACCAACCACAGACAACATATACTAGTTCAGACATTTATTAACTTAACAGTTTCCACTAATTTGTTTTATACTGCTAATAATTTTAAAAAAACATATCCTAAAATACAAAACCACTGAAACATACAAACCACATGATGCATGAGATTTTTTTTCCCCTCCTAAAGTTGCAAAGATTTTCACTTGATAAACCCTGCCTAACCAGGATTAAGTACAGTCTTCTCTTGAATTACATGGCAGGTAAAGGCTAAATCTTATATACTATCAGCACTGGATGTTGAATTTTTCAGACGTGTGGCCAAAATTTTAAACTGCCACCATCTATCCTCCTTTAAGTTTCTCTTCAGTTTTTTCCTTTAATAAACACAGATGCAGGGTAATATTTGAGATAAAACATAAAATCCATTTTATACTAAGAAATTCTTTATATGCCCCCTTTTTTTGTTATAAAGAAACATGTATAGCAAAAGTTACATGATTGAAAATGTGCACAACCTCCTCCTACAGTAGAAAAAGATACCCCACCTGACTCCCCTTCTTAGGGAAGTCATTTCTTCAGCGAGTTTACATTCGGATTCAAGCAAAAGTGCCTATAATCCTCCAGTCCTCATCACCATCTATTTTTCTGTGACAGAGGAATTGGCCAACCCAGCTTTTCACCATTCCATACTCATTGCATACAAAAAATTGGCTGTCACGGAAAGGTTAGTACTCATACTTCTTATTTCACTAGTAATTTAAGTTGTTACCTGTCCTTTAATAAAGTATAACTGAATTAGTAATGAAAATTAAATCTTTCCTCTGTGGGCCTTATTATTTGCAAATAAATCTACAGCATCATTATAATTTGATGTGTTATATGATTTTCGATTACAGGAATAACAAGACATAATAAATGTTTCTGACTCATCAATGATAGCAGATAGTTTTTGATAAGTTTTCATTTTCTATAACTTTGCTCACAGCTTGCGAATGTGGTTAGAAGCATACAGTAAATCTGCAATGCAACACAAATATTGTAAAAGGCATCCTGCAAATCATAGGTGTAGAGCTGTTGCAAGAGGTAGAAAGCACTGGCTTTTTTTATATCCACAAAAAATAGTAGAGCTTGTTCTTTAAAAATGGGAAGTTCATGGCAGAACTAAAATGTGTTTAGGTCTTGTTCATATTTTCGTGCAAGATCTGCTGCATTCTTTCTTTAGCTGACGTATTCAATATTTCAATATTTGACAACCACTGAGAAATGCAAAATTTGAATTTATTATGTTAGTACTGTTAACCCTTTTAATTTTTGTTGATTTTTTACTCACAGTGAATACTTTCTATTAAGGAAAGTTATCAGACTTAAACAATAACAATTACCATGAAACTCCAAGGACGGTCAAGCAAGGAAGCAAAAAACAAAGGCAATATCTGGCATTTATTTCAAAACCATTGATAACCTCCAGAACAAAACATAGTTGATGATGAGCTCACCTGCAGCCCCAGACTACCAAATAAAATGTATTTGTGAATTATGAGGTTTCTGCATGATAGAATGCCTTCCTGAAAAGTGATATGTATGTCACAGTCATACAACAATAATTATCCATTGAGCAGTGTAACTACACAGCATTTGACTGCTCACAAGACTTAGGGAGTAATAAGTATGTAACGGCTTATGATCCTCAGGTTGTAATATGAATAACAACAACACAGGAGATGCAGTAGCACTCAAAGGATGAAATAAAGTATATTGACAAGTGCTTTATTTGGCAAATGTTCACCTTATCAGAGCAAATGAAATCCTTAGCAAAACTGCTAGAAAATTAGAGATAATGCTGAAAAGAATTATTTTATTAAAGAATTTCATTATTAAATTGAATATTAATTATTAATATTTAAAAGAATTTAATTCAATTAAAGAAGTGCAGAAAATTATAGACTCCAACTTGTGTAGCTAAGGCCATTATTACTTACTCAAGGTATGTGTATCAACTTCATGAAGCTCTGCATCCTTCATTCACTATACCAGGGTTTCTTAAACTGTGGGTTGCCAAAAATTTTAGCAGTTTTGATATTTCTTTAACTTATCATAATAATTTTATAATTATCAAATAGTTTTACACAATGTATCTGAAAATAGATAAAGATAAGACAATTCAAACAAAGAAAAAAACGAAAATGTTTCGACGCATTCTTTTCATAATATAAACATTCATTTTCCTTGCTTTGCATGTGAAGCTGTAATTTCGTGTGTTACTTATTTAGAATCTTCATATTGTTCTATGTCTTAAAATTAGAAATTAAAGTTAATGACCTAAAAGTACAATAGTATATTACAGTACAAGTGAAAAAATTGACAGTTTCACTCACACATGTGTCAGATTTACGCAATACTTATGGGGTCCCACAAAACTTTTGTAAATATTGCGGGTCGCCATAAGTATTGCGTCGCGTCCTGGGGTCGCGAAAAAATGTCACTGATAAAAAGGAGTCGCGACTGAAAAAAGTTTAAGAAACCCTGCATTATACCATGCCGTGGTATGGTATAAGTATATAACATATTCAAATTAGGCTGGAATACATGATTAAAATGAGATTATCTCTACTGATGACAGAATCCTTCAAACCTCACATATATATTACACTTGCCATTTATGGCTAGAAATACTGTGAATGCAACCACAATTTACTTAGCTCTGGGAATTATAAGTGATAGTCTGCACTTTGCATGTGTTGTTTATGCTTGATTATACCTAAAAGTTTTGCAGCAACTGTCGTTAGGAAATCCAGCAGCTTTCTTTGTACGTAGACCCCTTTTGGTTCAAAATTATTTTAATCTTTTATCAAAGTGGTCATCTTAAAGAAGTGATGCTTAATGCTGACATTAATTTACATTTAAAAAAATACTGATTGATGGCTTCACAGGATATTTGCTTTTACGAGTGAGTGAGAAAAGAAGGATTAAGAATGTGTTCTGAGATAAAGGAAACCATTGTTTTCTGTTAGTTTTCCAGATTTTCACAGATATGAGGACATGGAAGTATATCAAACTAACACATGGTGAGTATGTACAAAACTATGCTCATCTGAAATCAAATCATTGATTGCCTGATATTTTATATAAAGTGAATGCTACTTTTTCCCACTGGTGATTCATCATTTGTAAAATGGGATAAGCTCTGGAGCACATTTCACAAATGAAAAATTAACTAAGCTGTAATTTCATAGGATTTTAAATCCCTAAAAAAAAAACTATTTGATATTCTTCAAGCAAAGAAAATTTAAATAAACCCATTCCTACATGGAATTTTTATTCAAGATTTAGATTTTTGAATTAAGACTACTGAATTTTGAGACAGTGATCTTGAAATTTTGGGAGAATAATCAGTCCTTACAAATCACTTCCAATTAAAAAAAAAAAAAGAAAACTTTGATTTGTCCTATACTTTGAATGCTTACTTTATTACAATACACATGATATAAAACAAAGTTCCAGTATAAAATAAACAACAAGGAAACATTTAAAACAGTGAAACAAGCAATAAATCAAAAATAAAATTCAAAATCACTTACCAGAGGGGTAGCAGGATGCAACACAAGCATACTTAAAGGCACTGGTTTATTAGAAACTGCTTTAATATGTGCAAGTGATGAAACTTTCAAGTTTAATGCCATTCTTAATTTTTTAGGAACAAGAATTAAATTTTTGGTATAAAAGAAGCTCATAGGAAGACCAAATTCATCTTCTTCACTAGATTGCATTACCATTACTATAACACACACAGAATCAAAAGTACTTTTTCTCTTGTCCTTTGTGGAAGTATCACTTTGAGATTTCTTCTTTTCAGTTTTTTGGGTGTCAGCATTCGACTTAGATTGCAAATCTAAGTCTTTTTCTGATTTAGCAGAATTTGCTTCATTATCTTTTGCTTTCTTCTTGTCAAGAGGAAATGGTAATTTCTGTAACACAGCAACAAAGCAGGGAGGTATTTTTGACACACCAGAAATATCAGCGTATGTACTTGCATTTATGAAAACTATAGTAGATTGCATAATCTCTGGCAAATCCTGCTTTTGTGAATGCTCAAAAGGCACAACACGCAAAGAGGCTTCAAAATTCAAAGGCACAAAATTATCATGGATTTTGGTCCCTAAATTTTTTTTATAAGTTTTATCTTCAGAAGAACCCCACGGCCAAAATCTGTAGTTTTTATCATCTTCAGTAATTTCAAAATTAAGTTCCACATCCAAGTTCATTCGTAAAAAATCAAACTGCAAATGATCAGGCTTCTTGTTTAATCTCTGAACTTTTTCAGAAATGTTTCCATGCAATTTAACATGTACAGCAGTTTTTTCTGTTAGATATGCCACACTTACTTTGGGCTCAATATCCACTAAAACATAAAGAGAAAATAAATAAATAAATAATAATTAAGAAAACATACAGGTAAAAATTCAAATATTAAAAATACCAAAAATGAAATAAAAACTGATTTCTTATACTAGTTTACAGTACTAGAGACTGTAAAGAAAAAGTGTGCACACTTTTCTTTACAGTACTCAAAACAAAAATAGAACAAAAATAGAATCTATTCTCCCAATTTAATTATTAATTTCTGAATTTTTCCCCTAAATGCTTAAACAGACATGTCATTCAAACAAAAAGATATGGCCAACTAATTAACAATTTACTTGATTATTAAGCTGATATTAAAAAAAAACCTTCCCCCCCAACAAAATATTTTTTTTATTTTTAAATATACACAGCATTATTTTATCAGAAAATGGAGGAAGCTGGAAGTTTATTAAATAAATAGAAAAGTGATATTTTTGCAAATATGTTATTTTCATATATAAAGCTCAGATTCCAGATTCCAGTTAAGAAAATTTATTAATAGATAATGATGGAATAATATTTTTGCAACTTTAAAAAGGTATTTGTAATAATGATTAGAGTTAATTAACCAGACTATATTTCACTTAAGTTTATAAATTTAAAAAAATGAAAAATACCCAATTGTAAATTATGTGCATAGTAAATTAGATGTTTGGTCAAACAAAAATATTTCTAAATCTACTACATATTCCTGAAGTAAATATTCATAATTTTAAATTACGAATATTTATATGAAGAAGAAACTAAAATTTTTAAATTATAAAGTTTTGCATAAAATAGTAAATTATTTTAACTCCATACAAAAACAAGATATGTATATAAATACATAAGAACTAATTAAAATATAATTATGCATCATTCACGAATATAAGATTATGAATACACATATTTGTAAGTACAATGAAATCTTGGGTCACAAATGCCTCTCATATGAATAAATTTTCTAAACACAATATGTCTTGGATGAGGAATACTGTTTCGAATAATGAACATGCAAGCTGGCAGCAAATGATTTTAGAGGTGTTTTGAGAGCTCTCAAGCAGAATTAATATTCAGAAACTTCAAGAAAAATCACTTTAATAATTTCCATTGCTTAACTCTTTGGCAAAGTTTAGAAGGAAGTACACTGCAAAAAGAAAATGGGATAGTTCTATATCTCCCATTGTATTGGGCTAATTGACAGAATTCAGACTGCATTTTCTAAGTCTCAAAAGCATGACTTGGGATATACATTACACTTATATACAGCATTGTTCTAACATAGGTATTTTGACACAAAATCGAAGTTTTTCTGAAATGACATGCCATTTTTTTTTCCATATTTCAATTCTATGACTCAAATTATGTCCAAATAGTAAATTTTGTAAAATTTGGTGTGGAATTTATGGAGAAATTTAAAAATTTTAAAAACTCAGTGGCGCAAACAGTTCTAATGGGCCAAGGCCTGCAGTGCCCCGAAATCTGCTTTCTTGATCGTGGGCCACAGGGTGCATAAGCATACACCCTGAACAAGTGGTCAGCTTGTCGCAGGACCCTCAGTGTTTAGTTTCCAAGTGAACTTGGTACTCATTTTATCGACCCAAAGGATGAAAATCAAGGGATGAAAGGCTGAGTTGACCTTGACCAGCCTGGGGTTCGAACCCCGGACCTGTGGTGCTGCTGCGTGATGCACTAGCCACTGCACCACCGGGCCTCAATTTAAAAATTTATCTTGCCCCATTTGTTTCAGTTTGAGCCAAGAGTAATTCAGTTGGCAAACTTCTTAATTTATAGCAACCTATTTTCCTTTCCTTTTTTTCATTGCCCACAAGCGGGCAATATACTAATATTTTAACCAAATAGCATTTATTTCAGTCAGATAAAGTACGCACTGCTAAACGTACTACACAGCCTCATTACAAAAATAAAAATTGCTACATCAATATAATTTTAGACAGAAAGCACACATGACTTTAACATAACTGACACATTTAAATTTTCATAGCATGTATTAGAAAAAGGAGTTTTTGAAAATAATGGACATACTTAACAGATTCAATTTTGATTTTGCTATTGACAGGGAAACAGGTAATAATATGCTATATATTTTGAATGAACATCTTGATTTTCAAAACTGAGTAAAACAGTTTAAGATCTGCAAAAAAATTGTTCAATTGAAGATAAAAATAGTAAATGATAAATTCAGGATTTTGAACAACAGAATTCCAAGAGAAAGGGGATGAATTGTTGGTTTCAATCAAGATGATGGTGCACTGGTGACATAAGTTTCAAAATTATTTGGATATTGAGACATACTGCATCTAAAGACACGATGTTGTCCTTACAGTCCTACAGACAACAAAGAGCATTGGTTAATTCAATATATTAGCCAGGTATGTCCAACAGGTTAATTAAATATGGCATAGCTCATAATCTTATCATGATGACTTTCTGCTTAACACTAGAATTACGGTGGTCTTCATATACCTAGAATTACGGCGGGTGTCATTTTGACCCCTTGATAAGATATCTGCATATTTTCTCTATATGATATAATATATTTGTGAAAAAGAAATTAAAATAACGCAAATTATGACAACTACAGTTTATTTTAAAGAATTTAGACACTTTGCATGTATGTAGTCAAATAATGAACAAGCATTTAAATATTTCCATCGGAAAATGTAATTTTTTTTTTCACTTTCAATAGCTTACATTTCAGAAACACGGGAAATAAAATGTATAAATATTTACGCAAATTTTTCCAAAAAAAAAAAAGTGGTTTTTAATCCAAATATTAAAGTTTTTTAAAACAAATTTTTGCTATAAAGAGTACATAGAAAATAGAAATATATAGAAATATTTTATTTACAGATAATATATTGTGTACAATATCCACATAAATATTTATTACAGCTGTCACAAATATTAGAAGTTTTGTTACCTTTGCATTTACTTACTTGACATTTCTCACTTTTTCTTTTTTTTGATTCTACTGAATCTCGTCCATCCACAAAGCCACTTGAAGAGAGAACAAATTTGTTTTTACTAGATATACTATATTCTTCTCTTAGTTCTTCTGCCAAACCAAATGCAATAGAAAATTCCTTTTTGCTGATATAAACTTTTGTAACTTCCTTACACAGAATCCACGCATTTATGCCTACTAAGTCCAAAATATTGTAGAGTACATGTACTGGCCAACGGCGTGATGGTACTTTCATGGAGTACTTTCTTGCCATTTGATCCAAAACATCTACCCCGAATTTCGTAGAATTGTAAAACTGTATTACATCAGGAACCTTCTCTTCATTAGATTCAAATTCAACTGATGAATGGAGTGTACTTAACAAAATATTGTTTTTCTTCCTTTTACCTTTATATGATGTGTTATATACTCGTGTTTCATCACAACTGAAGAAAAAAGTTTATTTCTTACATTTTTTAAACTAAGGGGAATTTTTCTTTTTGCACGATTCCAACATGACTCAATTCTTTTGATTTTAGGGATTTCGCAAGTTTTACTGATGTAAAGAAACTGTCTGTAGTTATATTTCGGCCAGTAATTTTTGTAAGGAGCAACTAAACGATTTACTACGTTCTCTCCTAAACTTTGATCACTTAGTCTCATTTCATCTTTTCCTAAATATGGAAATCCATTTAATAAGTATTTTGTCCTAATGTCTACTGCTAGCCAAAATTTCATTCTGAATTTATCAGGCTTGTTAGACATACACTCCAAAAAACGGCATCTTGTTTTTGTAGGGAATAACTGCTCATCAATCGTAATGTTTTCATTTGGGTTTGTAGCAAAGCTTAGAGTTTTCTATAAAAGTATTCCATACCTCGGATATTAGTGCAAATTTATCACACTGCAAACGTGAAGACCTTGTTAGTTTATTATCAAAAAGAATTTCATAATTTCCAGAAACCTATCTCTACTCATAGTTTTACAAAAAAAAAAAACTTTGGTCCTCAAGTCTTGGACCACAAACTAAGAATTGGTAAGCCCTTTGCGGCTAATGTCCCCTTTACGTGCAACAACGTGATGAATGCTTCCAGTTCTCCTAATAAAATGGCTACTCATTATGAAGTTTACGCTTGACTTCAGCATCAGTACACTCCTTTATGACACGTAAAAGTTTTCCATTTATTATTAACTTCCACGCACTAAGAGCTTTACCAGAACAAATGTGACGTTTAGCATAGGATGTCGGTCCTGCATTTTCTCGCAAGATATTTTGCAAGGGTCGCTGACCAGAAGTATTTGAAGTATTTTCTACTTTCCATACAGTTTTATCACTAGCAATTTCTTTACAAGTGTTAGTTTGAATTATGTTGAATTTCATATTCCCTTTTGAACGTCTACTAGTTCACGCTTTGGCATTCTTAGGTACAGCAGAATTTGAACTCGTAGAAACAAATCCATTTGTACTTTCACTTGAGCGTGAGATATTGCCTCAGATGATATGAGGATGATATTGCCTGTTACTCTCTATAATAAATTCAGAATCACAAGATGTTTCATCTCCATCTTTATCTGTAGAATTATTTTCGATTTCAGAACCGGAATCGGCATCAGATAATTCTTGCATCAGTTTCATGATTTCTTCATGCGTTAGTCCTTTTCTATGCGCCATTACTACGTCACTATAATAAATTCATGTAAATAGAATAAAATTTTCCACTAAAACCTGTTATGAATAATAAACAAAATATCTATGAAAAATCTACAAATGTTCAGCTCGTAATAATCTCTTTTTTCTGTTTTCTTTCCACAAAGAAAAGTATTGCACATATTTCAAATCATGTGACTGGCAGATGTGAAACTACGCAGACCCACCATATTCTTTTCCTTTGTTTGTATTTTGTTTAGTAGGTGCAAATTAAAATAGTTTACAGAAGTAATAGTGTTCAGATAATACAATGGAATGTATTCACATTTCTTTTCTCTCAAAGGGGTCAAAATGACACCTGCTGTATTTATAGGTATAATCATTTGTTAGGACTAAAATAAAAACACGATTTTCTTGAAATCTTTATTATTTCATAAATCACAATGATTTAGGAAAAGTCGAGAAAAGATTAAGATATCTTAAAAAGCGAAAAAAAAAAAAAGAGCTGTCAGAAATAAAAGTTAGCTAGGAGTCAAAATGACCCCTTTCATAATTCTAGTGTTAAGGGGAAGGAATGCCTTCATGAAGAACTTTCTAAGGGAAAATGGCTTGTATTCGCATTATACAAGCTGAAAAACCACAGAAACTAGCCATGCAACCAGCCCGTTTACCTGAAATCAAACTTCTAGCATTAAGCGGTCTTAACCACTACTGGTGGGATCCTACATAAATTTCATTGCACGCTATTTATATGTCTAGAAAGATACAGTGTTCAACATAAGCAGCATTTACAATTAAAAACACTACAATATTTACAATGCTTTATAATCAGAAATGAATAAACATATACTATAAAAAATAATTGTAAAGAATATAAAGGATGAACTTACAGACTTTTACATAAAATGATACTTGATTAACCCACAAAGGAAATTCTTCATTTGGGAAAACAACACGAATTTGATCCAACAGAACATTTTCAATATGTGAAGCATTTAATTCCTAATAAAAGTTAAATGTTACATCAGAAACACTAAGTGATAATAGTTTTCAGTCTTTACAATTATTTATAAAAATTATATTAAAATACACATATACAATAATAAAAATGTCCTATTACAAACACTACCCACACACACACAAAAGGGGATCGTGATATCATGTTTCAGAATCCAATGGTTGTTTTCGCTTTGTCCCTGAGGGACTATTGTTTTCGTTTTGCAATTTTGCGTCAAATTATTCTGAATGTCCGTTTCACTTTTCAAACTGTTGCCACCAAATATTAGAGCCCTGTATTATATTTGAAGAAATTAAATAATGAAGAATCTTCATAAATGCATGTATGTTTCTCACATTGTGATAAAACAATGGTACCTAAAAAGCCATCAAATTTTGAATGACGTAATCCTACTGCGAATATGGGCATCTGGAAGACCAAATTTGAAATTTGCTTTATTATCAATTTCATATTTTGTAAAACTTTAATGAATTTTTGATTAACAAACTCAAGGATTTCAAAGCGAGCAAAGGCAATGTTGTACAGAAAAAACATTTTTATCTCCAGCGTGAGACTGTGTATCGGAAATTCAAAAGATATGCTCAATTTAAAACTATTTTGCGATATTGCTCTTGAATTGAATTTTATAATTTAAGTGCAAAAGAACGTGACATTTAATAAATGAATGTAACACACAAAATTTTAAAAAATACCCCTTTGGACGTAATTAAAATCTGAAACCTTTCAGGTGTTTTTTGGGGGGGTGTAAAGTAAAAATTAATACAGTCAAAAGTCGTTAATCCGGACTCGTCGGGACTTCGGCAATTCCGGATTATCGATTTTTCCGGATTATAGATCATCAGTTTAAATCTGGTAAAATGGCATGCAGAAATTATAAAATTAAAAATATGAGACCGTAATTTACGAAATAAAAGAACAATTATGATCTAAAGGGTATCAAAATTACACAAAAAAAAAAAAAAAAAAAAAAGCTTAATATTTATTTGTTTACTTTAATAAACATTTCTTTCAATGTAAGTTGTTTAAGTTGCTTCGTTTTTTATGTGATAATACATTCTCTTTAATTCCATAAACAGACATAATTTCTTGTTCAGTTGCAAAGTTCCGATGTTCAAGTCCTTTAATTGCTGTGCCGAGTCAAATAGAATTTTTGATTCTGGAGCTCCCAAAGGATCGTACAAAACGAAAGTATGTTTCGATGTCCATTAAACAAAAAGTGGAATTGCTGCAAAAAATGGATAAAGACATGAAGAATGTGACAGAGAGGTTAGTGAAAACGAAATTTTTTCGTTTTCAATAACCTCTGTTACTTTCTTCGCTATCGGAAGCGAATTATAATGACGAGGCATTTGATTTAAATCATATCAAAGACGGAGTACATCGAGAGGGAATACCACATTTAGTAAGCAATTATAAGCCAAATAAAATGAAAACATCTGCTCTTAAGATAAGGATAGTGTTGAAAGATCAACTTCCAATTCATTGCGGTCCGGTCCCTGGCGTTAAAGATAAACAAACGTTAAAGTTTAGATAAACAAAGGATATGCCTTTATCCATTTTTTGCAGCAATTCCACTTTTTGTTTAATGGACTCCGAAAGATACTTTCGCTTTGTATATCCTTTACATATTAGTAAATATATATCGGAAATTCTATTTGAAATAATCGAAAGTTCAAGCTTACTTTTATAAAATTGCTCTAACAGTCTGCAAAAAATAATAAGCCGGATCCAATTCGAAGATTAAGGAACAATGCAATCTGCAACATTAACTGAAATAGATAATTAGATAATTTTAACTTAGCTTATCCCGTCCGTTATACATTAAACGCGCATTCGTAAACGTATTTTGCGCACGCGCAAATTCGCAGCCGTAAAGATCTTACGCGCATGCGTCAACGTGACGCATGCACAGAAAGTTTGTAGCTTTGAGGTCCGGATTATGGGTGTCCGAATTAACGACTTTAACTGTAATTCTTTTTAGAAGTAAATCTTTTTTGATACATTAACAAACAATAGAACATTCTGCAGAGCAGTGAAATACATAACTTAATTTTTCAAGAAATTATTTGTTCAAAGAAATTTTAAAGGATTAAACCTCCAATTAAAATGTATAAAGACCATAAATACCTGTGTGACTAGATTCTTTCTGAATGAGATTTATCTTGCAATATTAAACTCATATAAACAAGCCTCTGTTTATTTAATTGTAATACTTTATGTAATAACAAAATTTCATTTCCTTAGCAAATACAAAGGAGGATGTAGAAACAAGAAAGTAAGTAAAAACAAATTTAAAATACAACAATATACAGAGCACACATTTCTGTAATGATTTTGTTTTTCTCCATGAATATGAATTTAAATATTAATTTTAAAATATAAACATGACTGGCATCAAATTGGGATAAGGTTTAATAATTGTCTGCAGCATTTAAAATATTCTTTTCTTTAAAATATCACTGAAAAATAAACAATGGAATGAAGGCTATATTTTTGCACTGTCCGAAGAGAAATACTGTTATTCAATTATTTAAAAAGACACGCAAAGCATGGTTTTAATATTTCTATACGTAAAATTAGCGCCATAATTAATATGAAAGGAAAAAACTGTCAAAGTTTATATATGGCTGGGAAAAAGGTAAAAAATTTATACCCAACAAAGGTACGTACAGCTTTTAATAAATCTAAAGTCGCATCTCATATATTAAAGGAAAACCCAGCCCCCCCCCAAGAGAGCTATTGTAAAATTTTTAAATATCTCTGCAGGAGCTGTGAACAAAACTATAAAATCTGATTTAAATCTAATCAAAGTAAAAAAAAAAAAAATATGATGCTCATCATGTAATGCCGAAACATGTTCCTCAACGAGAGCCTATGTGTAGACTGCTGTATGAAAATTATTTGGAAGGTGAAAAATGGAAATATATAGTTACAATTGATGAGGCTTGGATATACTTGTTGGTTCAGAGAAAACAAGGAAAGTTTTTCTAAAGAATTTATGGTTAATACTGGATTTTGTTATAATGGAAAAATTAAAATAAGGAAAGTAGAAAAAATGTCAAAATTTATTCAGATTACTATCAGAAATATTGTTAACACCTATTTTTAGAGAAGAAATTCCATTTCTTTATCCAAACAATCTTCATTGTGTTAAGTTCCATCAGGATAAGGTTTCAAGCCATACCTCTAAATCTGCGGTTTAATTTTTTTAAAAAATGAGAAATAAAACCAGAATTGAAGCTACTCCCTTTTAATGCACCCAGTGCTTAAATTGTGCCGGAGCCCACCGGAGCTCGGCTCCGGTGCTTCTCTATTTTTAAGATATATTACAAATCTGGCCAAGGCGCACAGGAGCTCTAAATAAGATGAGCTCCGGCATTTCTTTTTATAAAACTAAACCACAATTTAAAGGGAAAAAAATGAGAATTCGTAACGTTTTAGTTTAACAATAAGAAGACCTTGCAATACTCTTATTTCCCTAAATACGAACTCATGAGAACATGAGACGGTCAAGTAAAGTCCCTTCACTCACATGCGAAAACCTTTCCCTTTAAGAAAAGCAATAAATTTGGGGGAGTTTGTTTAGGAACGCCTAAATTTCTCGCCATGCCATTGTATCTCGTGTATTGTTATCGATGCTTACAGTTAGTTATCCTTGCAGGAAGGAAAATTTTGTGTTCTTAAATGTGCGTTAAGTGACAGCGAGTACAATAAGAGTAAAATGCTGAGATAAACTGCTCAAGCACATCCTATACATCGTCTTTCCCACAGTATCCACTAATGGGGGAGGGGGAAGCGTAACCAGCAACTTTACATTTAGGAGTCCGATTCAGGACTTATTTACCCCTGACACCCATCTGCTTAATGGCTATAATTATATCAACCATGGAGGTAAGAAACTTCCTACCTCCATGATATCAACAAAAAGCAGCCGTCAAGGAGAACGTTCTCTCTCACCGAGATTTCCCTCATTTTTTGTTCCACCCACTCATACCCTAATTCCGTTTTGCACTGGAATTTTCATCAGCTATACTTTAAGTATATTTAATTTTTTGTGATGATAAAAGAACTCCCTTACCCCCTACGATCAAAACCTAAATTGGGCAGGAACCCACCGGATCTCGGCTCCGATGCTTCTTAGTTTTTGTAATAAATCATACATCTAGCCTGAACGCACCGGAACCCTGAATAAGAAGGCTGCGGCACTTCTTTTATGCAATTGAATAACAATTTCAGTAGAAATTTTATCTCGAAAATTTTATTTGAACAATAAAATTATATTAAAAATTGCGTATTAAATTTCAATTTATCTCTTTACATTTTATTTAATTTTAATTAGTTAATTACTTCAATCTTAATTATTCAATAAATAAAAAATTAATTATCTAATAATTATAAATTAATTATAATTAATTAACTATCTAATAATATCAATTAAATTGTAATTAATGAAGTTTATAATAATTATTGATTAAATAACAATTTATAAACATTAATTAATTTGTTAATAATTAACTATTTAATTTTAAAATTATTAATGAGTTTAATAGTCATTTTATTTATTTATTTACTCTTGTTCCTCTCTGCTCATGGTCTTCCATAGGGCTCTGGCACTTCTAATCTTAGAAATTAAGCCCTGAATGCATCCCACGGAAGTCCCTTGATGTGTCTCCTATGGAATATTGTGCATTTGGACTTTAAAAACAAGCTCTTTAAAAATCAGAAAACATTGGATGGACTCTGGAAGATTGTGAAGGAAGAGTGGAGTAAAATTAACCTTGATGGCTTTCAGAAAAGGACTTTGATCTTGGAAATCAATATGATAGTTCAACAAAGGGGATATAAGACTGAACATGTTAGAAAATAAAATTCTCACAAAAAGTCCAATTTTTGTGTCAAAATACCTATGTTAGAACAATGCTATATATAAATCTAATATATATCCTAAGTTGTGCTTTCGAGACACGAAAAACGCATTTTGAAT